GAACGAGTCATTGATAGCAATGGACCCAACACCTTCCTAAACATTCATGTTAGATTTTGACATGGAAGGGTTGCGATAAATGTTAGGCCATTACCATCAGGTACCAGCAGGGGGAGCCTCGGCGCGTCTTGGAACTATCCATTATGTCATCGGCAACGAGGAACATTCCTTGAAGCTACATTGGAGAGAGGTTATTATAATATAAGCGTCAATCGGGAAACGGGATGGATAGCCAACCAGTTCAGTGCACCATCCGAGAATTGCGCTAAGTTTGTATTCTGCGAGACTAAGCGTCTCTTTGCCAGCGAGGAGACGGTAAGTGTCAGGAACAGTCATTCCACGATTGTACTTTCCACCAAGGGTATTGTGGAGAAAGTTCTTTAACCAACGCGAAATTAGCAATTGAGGTCATTCAAGAACAAAAAGGGGGGGAGCAGCAAACCCTCTCGATCCATTGAATGGCATTCTCAGAAATCTGAGTTTTCCTAACCTCAGCAACCAATTCAGGGACAATGACATTAGTGAAGACTTCTTCGAATTGTGGACGTGTGGTAGCCATGTTTGTATCGAGTTTAAATATTCCAAAGGGGAAAGTGTTGAAAGGGGGATAGAGGCCGTCGAGATAGTAAACACTATGACAACCGGCAAAAGGGAATTGATTGTCTTCGGGTGGAAGTTTACCGACTACTTCGTCGATGGAATAGTAGAATTTGGAGGGAATTTTATAGTCTTTACGTGAACAGGGAAGAAGAAAACGAAAGCGTAGGAGGTCGGAAAGAAAGGGGTTAGAAATAGGGCGGTGTGGCGATAATAGGGGAAAGGGAGAAGTAGTAGTGGTAGAGAGCGTGTTCCACCAATTTCTGTGGCGGAGTGAGGGCAGTTGGAAAAAGGGTAGGGTGAAGGGGGGCCCAGCGGTAAAACGGCCATTGCTAAAAACGCGCAGATCGTGACGGGCGCTACCGCTATCTTGATCGAGATGGCTATTCCTATGCACATTCGCACCCCTGCGCACTCCTCTGCGATGTTGTGAATTCCCCTGAGCGAGCTGGCCGAGCAACACCATTAAGCTGGTCAGGGGAAACGGGGAATAAAACAAAGCGTTTGTTTCAATCTGGGTGTATGATACGCCAACCACGTCCTGGGCACGTGATAGGGTGGGCGTCCAGGAATAGACCGGCAACAAACTCACTTCCTGCTTTAACCCCCAAACCAACTCTCCGACGATATCATTCCTTTTCTTCACCACAGCCCGACTCACGCTCGATAAGAATTATTGAGAGGAATTCCGGAGAAAGTGTTCACTACCGTATCCCAACCCTCTTACCTGCCAGCATCCATTACCCTACCGCTGCAAGGCCAACACATAGCAAATCACATCAGATCAAGGAAGAGTGGCCTGGAGCTGGGGTTGGGTTGGGGCAACACATAAAGAAAAGAAAAGAAAAGAAAGGCTTGTGTGTCACGATCGAAGGGAAACGCCGGAGGTGAGCAAACTGATACCACAAAGCAGAAATATTTCTCTTCGTCTGAAACCCTACACCATTATCACTGTACGGGTGGGAAATCGTATAATAATCGCGCGTTTTTGTTCTCGGGTACTTCTTCCCCACCCCCGCAATCGACTCTGACTGGGACCCTGCAGGAACGGGCTTGCATATCGATAAGCCTAACCCCACAACACACCCTTCTCACCCTAAGCACAACCCCCGTCGCTCATCTTTTCACCAAACTGGATACCGTGCATGATCAGTCAATCAGCAATTCTTGGCGTTAACCTTCCTCATCTCTGATTGCTACATCTAAGTCTTAGTCCACCATGGCTACTGAAGTTCCGGATCCACACCAACTTCACGCAGCTCTGCAGACGGCAGTACTGAAATGTTCCGAGCGATGCCTTTACCAGGCAGCTAAATGGTGAGCCGTATCCAACCCAGTCTATACTTCCCCAGCTCCTACTAACGCCTAATCTCAGGGCAGCAGAGGCCTTAACATCTATGCCACCACTTGTTCCGCAAAATGATACACCTCTCCCGCAAACTTATCTCTATCCTACTTCCCCTTATGAGAAAGAAGCTAGATTGCAAGCCGGCGAACTCCCAACATACTTGTTATCGAAATCCTACTTTGATGTTCACGAATATGACCGTTCGTCTGCGGTTTTAGCGAACTGCAAGTCCTCCAAGTCACGCTTCCTGCACCTTTATGCACAATACATTGCCGGCGAGAAACGCCGTGATGAGGAGAGTGAAATGATATTGGGACCTCTAGATACAGCAGCTACACAAAATCGTGAAGTGCAGAGTATCCTGTCAATTCTGGAAGCGATATTCGCAGAGAAGGGGGACGATATCAACGAAGACGATTCCTGGCTACTATATCTCTACGGAATCGTATTGTTGAAGCAAAAAAATGAGGACGAAGCTCGGGCATCATTTATCAAGAGTGTGAACCTATACCCATACAACTGGTCAGCGTGGCTAGAATTGGGCTCAACACTGGGAAACCTCGGAGATGTTCGTGTTGATCATCCCGCTCGCGAGAGTTTGCATATCTGACAAAAGAAATAGCTAAACAACATCCTCCAATCCCTCCCAAACAACATAATGACGAACATCTTTGTCCTTTACTCGAACCAAGAACTATATCAAACCTCCGACCCTGTACATGCCCAACTAGCCGACCTCCAAACCATCTTTCCGACCTCCGCCTTCCTGAAAACCCAACGCGCACTCCTCTACTACCATGCCCGGGAATTCGACGAAGCAGAGGCAATCTTCGACTCGATCGTGAAGGCGGACCCCCACCGTCTTGACTGTCTGGACCACTACTCCAACATCCTATATGTAATGGAAAGAAGACCAAAACTCGGCTTTATAGCCCAACTCGCTAGCGCAACCGATAAATTCCGGCCGGAAACCTGCTGTGTAGTAGGCAACTACTACTCTCTTAAGAGTGAGCACGAAAAGGCCGTCATGTACTTCCGTCGTGCACTAACTCTCGATCGGGGCTTTCTCAGCGCATGGACGTTGATGGGACATGAGTATGTTGAAATGAAGAATACACACGCTGCTATAGAAGCATATCGCCGCGCCGTCGGTACCTCCCCCCCCATCCACCCAACTAAGCTCTACCTAACACACGCATAAAAGACGTAAACCGCAAAGACTACCGCGCCTGGTACGGCCTCGGCCTCTCGTATGAAGTTCTAGAAATGCACTACTATGCCCTCTTCTACTTCCAACGCGCCGCCAGTCTCCGCCCCTACGACCCACAAATGTGGCAAGCCATGGGCAGCTGCTTCGACCGAATGAACCGTCCCAGTGAGGCCATAAAAGCCTACAAACGCGCCCTCATATCCCCGACAAACACCTCCCCGGACACGGCAGTGCTCTTGCAGATTGGACTCATGTTTGAAAAACTGAATAATCAGAAGGAAGCCTCCAGGTGGATGGAGATGTGCCTCAAGGAGGAGGACGAGAATTCCGGTGTCACGCAGGCGACTAGTAAAGCTAGGATGTGGCTGGCCAGATGGGAGTTTGTGAATCAGAATTGGACGAAGGCGGCCGAGTACGCTAATGAGCTCTGCCAGGATGGACAGGAGATTGAGGAGGCGAAAGCGCTTGTGAGGGATTTGAGGAGTCGGATGGAGGTTGGGAAGATGTAGCAGTAGCGGTAGCGCTTTCTTCGTCAGAATGGGGGGGTTGTATGATAGATATTGGTAGTTCAGCTATTATATTATTATTATAGTCGTAGAAAAGTTACTAGTAGGGTGCTAGTTGTGTAGATGAATTACATTTTACCCACCTTATCTACCGAAGTTCGATCCTCGCCCCATGACCTTCGCCTGCATATCCATCCTCATCCTCATCATCATCATCATCATCATCATCATCATCATCGCCCTCATCGCTATCATCCTCATCCTCATCCTCATCCTCGGAGCTCTCACTACTCTCACCCTCCCCCTCCCCCCTCCCAACCCTTCTACTAAACTCATCTTCCACTACCTCCACTACCTCCCCATCCCCCCCTTCTTCCCCTTCTTCCCCCCCCTCCTCACTATCACCGCCCCTCCCCACTCCCCTAACCCTCTCCAAAAACTCCCTCCGTCTCCGAATCCTCCTCAATCTCACCTCCTCCTCCCCCTCCCCCTCTTTCCCCCCCCCACCACCCCCAGCGGCATAAACCTTCTCACCAACAACCCCTGCGCAAAACACAACCCGTGCCTCCGTCACCCCGAGTACCGAGCCATCCTCAGAAATTAACAGTTCACTGCCGACCGCGCGGCGGTAGGTGCCCGAGTAGATTTTATTGGAGAAGGACAGGAGGGGGTTTGGGGAGTTGAGGGAGAGGAGTTGGAATTGGGTGGCCGAGGGGATAGTGGTGGTGGAGTTTGAGGAGGAGGAAAGGAGGTTGGGGGTGTTTGTGTGCGGGTTGCTGGAGGGGTGTGTTTGTGCGGGTGGGTTCGGCGGGAGGTGGAGAGGGAGGTAGATTGTTTCATGGTCTGAGTCTGACTCTGAGTCTGGGTTGAAGTCTTGGGTGGCGCGGGTGGACATTGTATTTGGCGTGGTTTGGTTTGTGCTTGGTGTTTTAGATAAGGATGGATGGGGTGGGAGAAAGGAAGGGGAGGAAAGGAAGAAGGAAAGAAAGAGAGAAGGTATCATACGGGAGAGAAAAGTTGCGCATGTGAAGTTCGCTACCGCCTGCTACTCAAACTTAAATCACTTCGGAGAATCGTTTCTCCGACGCCCCCCCCGCCAACCTTATCATGCCCACCCCCGCCACAATCTGACACAACAACCCAGAAAAAAGACCCAATAGCATCTCCCACTCGAGCAAACCCTTTCCCCCTCTCCTCACGGAAAGGGAAAAAAAGAGAAAATTCCAATAATATTCCCAAACCCACAGTCCTAAACTCAGTCCTAAACCCAAGAGAGAAAAGAAAAAAGAAAAAAATTGTTAGTATCATATATCATACCAAACGCCGTAGGAATCCCAACCAACTAGCTAAGCTAACCTACGTTATGCTACGGGGTCCACGTGCTCGTTCCCTCCCTCCATCCATCAGCAAGATGAGATAGCAAGCTATCGATGTACATGGGACTACTTTCACCCTCAGACCACTACTAGTCAACAAGCCAAGCAAATAAATGTACTTTTGTGTGATAAGGGAAAAAGAAAGGGAAGGAGAGGCGGTAATAAAAGATATTATAGGCCCAACTTCGGTTTTTGAAAAAAGTAAAGACTAAATCCAGGGCGAGCAAGGGAGGAAGGAAGGAAGGGTAAAGAGGAAAGGGGGGTAAAAACAATTCGAGTTGAAAGCCATACAGTACCCACGACTAGAAAAAATGAAATATATGAAAAGAGAAGAAAAGGGATGATTTCTTCCCAACCCAATGCTAAAACAGCGGTGACAGAACAAGAGAGTGGAACAGAACGGAAAGCCCCTCCTCCCCACCCTATAATCCCGATAGGCCCCCATTCTGTAAACCCTCGATTTGCATCCTCATAACGATATCGAGTAGCATACGATCCCTTGCTTCAGTACTCGGGATGGTGTAATCGTTCTCCCCTTCTTCCTCCCGTTCCGTTTGTTCCGCAACCTCGGTCTCTGCTCCACCTGTTACCGCTTCCTGACGCTGACTATCTACATCTGGTGTTTGTGTCCGCAAAGGATTCCCTTGGCCGAGGCGAAATCCTGGGTTCCTCGCGAGCACAGCGTTCCTGTGACGGCCGGTGTGTCCTGCAACGGAGGTAAGGTTAGTGAACACGGGGGGGTACTCGTAAGAGTCCGTCTCATCGTCAGATAGGTCCGGGAGTCTTCCTTCTGCTCTGAAGCGCCGGAAACGTTGGTTGATGAGAGCTCTTGGCTCTCTCCTTCCGGAATGGCTCCTCGGAGAGGAAGATGTTGGCTGGGCTGCTGGAATAGCCGGCACAGGCCTAGTGCCTCTGGAAGAGCCAGCGGTGCCCGAAGAATTCTGCAGCGTCTCAAGAGCCTCCTCTTCTACCTGAACATGTGGACGCAATGCTATAAGCAAACGCTACATGTCCCAAAGAAAACAAAAACAAAATATTAAAAAGGTAAAAGCCCAAACTGCCAGAAAATAGAGCAATAAACTTACACGTCTGAGCTCCCTGCGAGTGTTCCTCAACAGTTGGAACTCGGAAGCTAAGAGGTCAATACTAGTTTGCATAGCCCTCAACCGAGATTCACTATTTCCCAAAGCCGAAGCTATACGGGCCTCCCCCTCCGCAGCCACCCTATCCGGATTCTCAGGGTTATTCGCATCACCCGCCGATGATAGCACAAAATCCTGTAATTCTCCGATCCTCCTAATCTGATCCACTAGGTTGGCAAATGTAGTCTGATCCCTAGCAATCGTAGCAGCAGACATCGAAGCTGCCGAAGCACTAGCAGTAGAAGAGGAGGAGCTAGCCGGAGGAGCAGAGGCAGCAGTGGCCGTAGAAGCGCCACCAGCACCACTACTCGCACTGGCACTCCCACTAGTGCCCTGAGAACCACCTATCGTAGACCCCATAGTGCCGAGAATGCGAGCTCTCCCAGCTGGTGTATGATCAAACAAATTTCCAAGGCCCGAATAATTCCAATTGGTTGGTGGTGGTGGTGGCGGGGACAAGGGAGCAGGAACAAAAAGAAAATCACCACCCCTACTTCGGTCACTACCGTTACTATACTCGGCAGCTACTGTCCTTGGCCTGAGTCTCAATATACCGTTCAGCTGTCTCTCATTGTCGTCACTGGCCGCGGTCTCCCTCAGGAACTCTCCTAGGGTAAGTAATCCGGGACCATCACCTGTGCTCGACCATGAACGGTTGTCTGTGCTGCCGTTGCTGCCGGTGCTGCTGTTGTTGCTACTGCTGTTGCTATTGTTGTTGATTTGTTGCGTTGTGGTGACATTTAGGAGAGACGTCGACGAAGCCGACGAAGAAGCAGAACTCGAAGAAGACGAGAACAACGGTTCCTGGGACGCTGTTGCGGAGTCCAAGTTGGTGTTGTACTGGGCATTAGTCCTGCTAGACGCGGAATTTGGATCTAATCCTTTCTGAGGACTTGACCATACTAGCGGGTCCGGGAAGAAGGAAGACATTCAGGTCAGCAGTGTGGTTCGGAATACGGTACTTAACAGGACCGAGGAGGAAGGAAGGGGCCAAACGAGGCCTCTCAGTGGGAAACACTTACGGGGAATACCCATAGCCCCTGCACCTTGAGTGGATACTGCCCCGGGGAAGAGAAAGCGTATTGGAAAAAAAAGTGCGGGCTGTCAAAAGACCGACACAGAGATGTGTTCCAGGAGGCGACCTTTTTTCCGTCGCTGTCCGGTAGGAAAAGAGTTGGTGTTTTGTCTTGGTGGCTCCGGGTGGCCCGGAAAGTTGAGAGAGAGCGGGCTAATTCTCTATCATACTTGTACCTAATGCATAAGCCGCATGGCATAAATTGCGGAAAAGCACAAGATGTGCGGTAGAGGTGAGAAGAGAGAAGAGCGAAATGTGAGGTCAGGAGGAGCTCAACCCATCCTACAAACACTGCTTATTCCCCTCAGTCCCATACCACATCCTATGTATTTATTGACCTACCCCTGGCATCACTAAAACAACCCACCGCATTTCACAAAATCATTTGCTCATAATAAAATCGCTAAGCCCTATTTAAACCGACCCGCACCTTTCCTAATACTGCTTAAAAGAAGACACCGGAAGCTTAATAATTATTACCCCCAATGCTAGGATACTCCAAAAAGGCTGCCGTCCTCATCTCATAATATTGTTATGTCATACATAAATCGCTTTTGAATTTGGCGTAACAATATGTGCTAATACGCGTATAAGTAGGCAATACCAGAACTAGTAACAGGCTTATAACCCATCCTATCACACCGCAATCCGCACCTGCAGCAATCTATAAAACCCCAAACTCTGGGTATTGTTGGAAAAAGGAGTAAGAAACGCCCCACGCCTAATCTACCGGTGAAAAGGAAAACGTACAAGTATAAATTTAAAGAAGAAAAAGAGAACGAGAAAAGCCGTGGTTGCCATCTTACCCAATCATGATTCTAATTCAATCATCTCCAATGGCTTGTGACTGGACAGAGCGGACCCCAGTCAATGGCCTTCCACCAACCTGAGTGAAACTCGATCCTCTTCGACGCAACGCACGTAACTGTGCATCTTGGGCTTCTTTCTGCTGAAGGGACTCACTGGGTAGGAGAATCTTTGAGGGGATTAGTGAATGGAATGACATAAGGCGCAGAACTGGAAACGTACCGCACGGTCAAGCTCATACGGGAGACCTCTGTGCCTTCCACGGATCTCCATAGCAATAATAACCAGTTTTCCAATAACGCCGAATTGGGCAGAGAAGGATGCGTTGCTATTTGGATATCCCAAACTTAGGCCAACAGTGCCGCTGCCAACCGGTCAGATATCGAAATGACAATATCTATGCCGAGGATACTCACTAAGCAGAAACCACCTCAAACAGAATCGCAAAAGTCGTGAACGCCTATAAATCATCAGTATATGCGCAATGACTACACAGTCCGGTAATACTCACATAATCCTTGGGGTCTTGGATACGGGACCCCTCGGATATTGTAATAATGAAAAGACCCAAAAAGATATACCACAAGTCAAAAGACAGCTGTTTCCTCAAATGGGCTCCTACAAAAGATGCTCCTCTGCCGTTGTCTTCGTCATCCGTATTAGCGTAGATACCGAGGGAGCTTTCCTCGTACACGTTGGTCCTTCGGACACTGATAGCAATTGGGAATACCGAAATATACATCATGACTACGCCATGTGAGCAGATAATCAAATGTGTAGAGAGCCGGCAGCCACATACGCATATAACTAACTTGAACCGCGGGGTGCAGGTCTGCCAGGTTCACAACTGCCAACCCAGCCGTCCTCGTAGAAGCGGCTTGGAAAATGGCGCCCATTATCCTATGTCCCACCGGTATCTCAGTAACGTCGCCGTCATTCAGATCCAGGACGATGAAGAGAATAATATCGGCACAATTGAGGACAATGACGATCCAGAATAGCATCCAAGTAGGCCAACTCGGGAACAGCAAAGTGAAGCAACGACGAGGATGATCCAAAAGGAAATTGAGCGATTCTCTATGCGAAGACTCTTTGGGGCAGAGTTTGAACATAATCCAAATAATCAACCTGAGCATGCAAGGAAAGGCGGTATTTCCAATAATAATAAGGAAAGTCATGATGATGAGGACAAATGTGGCGGATTGGAAAGACACCATGGAATCTGGTGTAAGGGTAAACCCAAGGTCATTGAAAGCAGTCTGCGCAGAGAAGATAGCCCTTGTGGACATCAGCGTGAGGCCTTCGAACGTGGTCTAGTCTCAAAACATACCACCATGTTGGATTCACGCCAATCGATCTCACATAATCCATATAGCCACCCGAGGCCCAGATCCAAGGCGTAAAACAAACGACGCCAAATACATGGAAAAATAAATAGTAACCTGTTGTATCTTAGCACAAAGCTCACAGCACAAGCTAACGAGATTTGATGCATACCAACTAAGACTTTTGCCAATAGCTTCAAACTCCGATACTCAATTCCACCCAGTTCGTCACGCTCTTCATCTGATAAGCCCACGAACTGCGAGTTCCTTCCTAAAGTAGGGGTATATGACAAGTAAGGCATATTCGGGGGCTCCTTGGCCGTCTTCCTTGACAATCTCGAGAATGGACTCGTGTTTCTCCGTTTTGGGTGCTGTCCCACAGAAAACGCAGAAGATATTACGCGCTCAACAGTAGAAGCACGTGGCAAGAACTGCTCGAGAGGAGGTAATTTCCGCTGGCGGACATTGTTTGACCCATTGACTCCATTGCCCAAACTCATCGTTCTTGAAGCAGGACTTCCAACATCATGATTCCGGTCTCCCTCAGCCGTAGTTCTACTGCGATGGAGAGTGCCAATATCGTCCTCATCAATCTCCTGGGCCCGGCAACCTGGTTCAAGTTAGCGGGGATCAAAAATATTGTGATTAGCATATGCACAAACCCTTCTCGAACTCCCTCGGTCCGGGAATCCTGAGTGCTTTCCCATGGACGCAATTCCTTTGCGTCTCGGTAAATGCGATATGGGGGCTAGTGAAAGCGCTCATGCAACCCGCCCCATCTCTGGATGGCGAAGGGAGATCCACGAATTGGATTCCGGTAGCTTCGGAATTTTGTCGCTGAGTTTGTGGCCTGTTTTATATAAGCTTCCTTCTGATATGGCAATCACTTGGCTGTACAAGTGAGAATAGGAGCACGTGTATCCCGCTCTGGCTAAACGTGGGATGAATGTGCTTCATTTCTCACTCACACTGGAGGAAACAGGGTTAACATACCCTTCGGTAGCGGACGAAGCAACACCGGAACTATCACTTCCATGCACACCATCCGAGCTACTTCTCCCCTGTAGAGTTTGAGATCTAACACTCTCTGGGGCGATATCAGAATCCATACTACGGGGGCGATCCTCTGTGTTCTTGCCAGGTCCGGGGCTCAATGATTGTTTGCTTAGATTCAATGGCGTTCCTGGCTCTGCGCGTAGGACTGTGATTTCCCTCCCACGAACCCCCGCCCCTTCTCTCCCAGATTCCACATTGTCATCCAAAGTTCCCTTAGAAAGCGCAGACCTCGCTCTCGACGGCTGCCGGGTCAAAGAGACTTTACGACAAAGTCTCAGCATCCATCAATCCAACAATAAAGAAATAGTGCCGGGCTGATATCATACCGATATTCTCGAACCGCTTTTCAAACCAGTATAGACGCACAAAGACAACTAAAGTGTTTATAAATATTGGGGTTGTAAGCATCGGCAGAAAGTAGATCACGACCTGCTGGTAGAGTTTCAGAAGGTTGGCATCAATTCTGCGGAAAAAATGCATCAGTATCATATGTAATGACCCGCGAGCACCAATGACCTCCCACGTGAACGGAAACTCACGTATTCAGACCAGACTGTGTGGCTCCACCAGCAGCAAAGAACAATGCGTCAATGTACCGCATATTCTTGTAAGGATAAATTATGACCGAGCCGATGATGGCCATCCCAATGACGTATGCATCTATAGAAACCGCGAAGGCAATTAGCACAGGCCCAATTGGATCTCTCCACACCCATATCGTAAGATGAAGAAAGGGGGGAAAGGGAAGGAGCCACGCACAATGTACAGTAATGAAGTTGAAATGAGGCTTGAATTGCCATCTCCTCGGTAATCCCATCGTAGCAAACCTTATTGGTTAATTATTCCTGTGACAAGTTCCTAGTTACTCGTAAACAAAAAGGGTAAAGGTCTCGGAATCCTGCGCCAGGGCCGCGGAGGGTTGGTGCAGTAGTGTTGAAACCGCAAAGTTAACTATTCAACACCCACTTTCGTCTGGACCCCTCAAAACAAAATCGATGGAACCTCCCCAGGTCAGAAGCTGTCCCTATCTCCAATGCAAACGGATTCCTCGGAACGCAAGTTGGAGGGTTCAAGATATGTAAATGACTTGGGCGCGGCAAGTGCTTCTGCAGGACCCAAGTCAGACGGACGGGGGAAAACGTGAGCACCTTCAGACGACGAAGGAACAGGATATTATTGAGCAGTAGCGAAAATCGACATTAGGACAATAAGATCGGACCTAGCCAGGGTATAACACAAGAATTGAGTGGCCGTTAAGGAAGAATACGGATAGGATGTTAGGTGGCGGTTTCCCCGAACGAAGGGAGGAACAAAGAGTGGGAGAGGGAGGGAGGGAGACGTTTGGGTATATATGTATGATAGCCATAGGGCGGTGAGACATCGGTTGGACCCAATCAATCTATCTATGATAATCTTTTTTTTTTTTAATAATAATAATTATTATCTCTCCCCCTTCCAACAGCTCTCCATCCATACAGTATATTTTTTTGTTGCCCAGCATCGGTTCTCACAAAGAACTTGGACTCGCGAATATTGCTTCTCCCAGGCGAGATGTATCCAAAAACAGGGGTCCGCAAAATATATGGCAAAAAGTTCGTGCGTGTGGGAGCGCCCAGACAAAATCACGACCTGAATTTTCCAATACCCGCGCGCCCGAGTTGAAGCCGGACAACTGAGATGACAATTCCCATGCAAAGACCGCGCGAGCACTTCTTGCCTAGGACAAGTACAGTACTTGTGACTGTGTGAAACATCAAAACGGCATAAGTTACTTCCATATCCATCGCCATCACAAATGCTGCTGGGGTTTATAGTAAGGGCTATTATAAATTATTTTTTTGTATTAAATTTTTGTGACCAGTGATCCACCCAAATTCTTGGTTCAACACGTCTACTAGCAGCTGTACGGGTATGATACTGTAGAATTACGTATCATGAGCGGGGTCTGAAAATCTCAGCCATCCGTCGACATAACAGCTCACTGGACATCTCGTCACCATCTAGTCACCAGACTTGTTCCGAGAGGAGTGTTCGCTATACAACGATACGGTGCTCGAGTAATCTACCCTATATGGCAAAAGCGAGCCAACAATGGCATCTTAGGCAGGCAGTAACTGAAGGAAGGGGAGAATCAAAGAGATAGAAAGAGTAAGAGAGAGTGACCCTCCATGGACCCACACATGATACACGTCTGCTGTGCTCGGGCACAGCTCCCGTTGCAACGTGCTCTCTTCAAGCATCTTCATAAGCTACCACTGTACGGTACTCGAGTACTGTACTGTAACGTGCCTTGCTATTCCCTTCCCTTGATTGCTGCACAGTGCTTGGGTACAGCATATCTCATTTCCAATCGAGCCCTTCCCCGCTAGCGAACGAGGAGATCCCGGTATGATAGCACGGCGATGAATTAGAATATAGTACTGTAGTCAACCAGGGAGGAGAGAGCGTACGGTACTCGAGTACTGGTATTGAACAGCTCAGCTCCCCCCCACCTCCTACAATCCTCTCCCCCCCTCACCCAAGTACGAATATGATACCAATCCCACTCACTCCTGGGTGTATATTATAGTACCACATAGGGAAAAAAATAAAAAGGAAAAAGACGTACTCATATCATACCGGTACAAGAATGTAAATCGAAAATTCATATGTTCCTATCACGACTCCCGAATTCCTCATAGACCACGTCCCTCACCGGCGCTGGTGGACTACTGCACAGGGGACAGTACTCGCAGTTCTGGTCAGGTTTGAGCTGTAGTGAAACTGCCAAAAGGACAAAAACTGCCAAAACCGGGTACCGGCAAAAGAATGCGGTTTTGCGGGTAAGTTATCGGTACTATGATACTATCGTAGAATTGTTTTTTTTGAGGCTGGCCCTATTCCTATGCACTCACTGAACACGATGGCGTATATGCTTGCTGTTGAACTCAACGTTTGAGCACTGTGACGGTGAATCTCCAATCACCTGGCGTAAGCATTGGGCTTTTGTGGGGGTTGTATTGTCCTGTTTACTGTCACCTACAGTACTTGTACAGCCTGAAATGTTTTTATTGTCACACTATTAATCCTCATGTGTTTTTTTAGTCTACCAATTAGCTCACACACTTACTCCCGCATAGCTAGATCAATTTATGATATTAACACCACTCCCTCTCCCCGCTCCTACATGCAGACTCCATCGCAAACCAGAGCACAGACTGCACCACACTCACCCCGAACCGCTAAAATGGTACTGTGGTTCCGGCTTTGTTTCTACTCGAGTTGGTGTGAGCGCCCCTATTACAGCATCAACGGCATGAAAATCATTTTCTTCTTTCTTTTGGCATTGCAGTTCCGCATTGGCATATTCGCCTCATTTTCTCTCCACTCAAATTTTCCCTCTCCCTTCCCGCTCTCCCCCACCACCACCTGGATAGCAGATAAGCCCTTCTTTCTCGGTAAGGCCTGCTCCCACCCGCCAAGTCTGCGGGTCTCCGATTCATTAGGGAGGTTTTGCGCGACGGCCGTAAAGGGATGCTGAACTACCGGTAGGGTGTGAACGAAAATGTGGTAAACTCATCCTTGATTCCCACTGCAGTGTTTCTTCTAAAGGGCTTTTTTACTTGTTATATGATCCATAACCTGGGGTTTCTACCAATCACATAATACTATACATTTCCCTATAAGGCGTCAGATATCCCCCCCGGGCAATTATTGAATGCCTCTGAGTGGGGGGCACAGGTTTTAAGCAGGGGGCAAGTAAGATAAAGAGAAAGGGAAACAAAGAGTTATCATCAACTTACGACCATAGTATACGGAAATCTAGAAAGATAAACTCCATACAGATATATATCAGTAAAAAAAAAAAAAACCTTCATCTGGATAGAATGTATTTAGCTGGATTATTCTCAGTATTCTTTGTATCTAAAAGGTGGTTAAACTTTCTGGTTATTTTAAACACTTATAAGCTAATATTACTATAAACTTATTGTATTAAATTTTAATATTAGAATCTGATTGTAGTTTTTATTCCATCTTAAATAATGAAGAAAATATAATCATAGTATTCATTATATTGGATTTTGGAATACTCCTGACTATACAGAGATTAATTTATTATATCTTCTTTTACAATATTCTAACTTTAATAAATATCTACTAAAATACTAGCCAGTTTTTAATATTAACTTAAATAATTATATATTCTGATCTAACTTCTAGTTGAAATTCTATATAATATATCTGGTAAACTATTTATTAAATATCTTAAATACTTTAAGATTATACTGATTGTAAGTTCTATAAAGTATAGTATAATTAAATCTAACTACCTTCAGACTTCTTCTTTCATGATATAATCAGTACATGTATGAGGTTAGTTGAGCTTGTTTTATATTTGATTACAGTATTACTCTTGATACTGAGTTTGTTTTATATTTAATTACAATATCACTCTTAATATCAAGTTTATTTTAAGTTTCAAGTTAGTTTAGTATCAGTTTTGATATTAAAGGATGATTTTACTAGTTTATTTCATTTGTACTAGATATGAACAAAATAAATTTTTTATATATAATTGAGCCTGCACTAGTGAAAACCTAAGTATTGGCCATTTATATTGTGTTGAGAAAAATGTATTGCAATCCAAGTAACCCACCAAATAAGTTTTGAGATATCAGTTATTTTGTATTTACAATACATTTGAACTAATATGTCATAAACATAACTTGGCATAGAAAGGTTTTCAAATGACTCATGATTATGAGTCATAGGTATGTTATTATTTCGTGTATATGAACACTTAAGTCATATGATTTGTTTAGGTTATAATTTGTTATAATTCACATATGACTCGATTATAAGGCATGGGATATGCACCTGGAAAGTGTGCCTTACAAGTATGTCTTGCCAGTATGCCTTGTACATACAATTCAGGTTTCACATATGACCTTGTTATAAGGTTTTATGCATATGACTGCTTAGGATTGTATGACTTGTTTATTGTATTATGATTAGTTTATGAGTTTTTACATATGATCTTGCTACAAGGTTATGGGTTTTATGTATGTGACTACTTTGGTCATATGACTAGTTTGTTATGATTTGGTTTCATGCATGTAACCACTTTGGGTGACATAACTTAGGGCGAAAAGAGTATTATATAAGGAGGCTAGTACAGCAGATCCTTACCGAAGGGCCGTGTTCCCAATGAGCTGACCCCAACGACTCGT